CTAGAACATACACAATAAACCAGGAAATGTACTAGCTACATAACTTCAAATTATGACCTACTATTCAAGAGTGTGATTCTTGCAATTTTCCAAGTTCAGTAGAGATTGAACTTGCTTTGCCCTTTAGAAAGCTGGTTCCAAAAAGTAGGTACAAGCAATGCAATTCATTCAGATCTTGTCTTATGTTAGTAGATACACATTCTTATAGTCAGTCCCAATAGCTGTGTCAAGAAATGATAGCAAGTAATGAAATTAGCATGTTTTGCATCAAGGGACAGTGTAAATTATGGCTTCTATATGACTGTAATGATCTTAACACTTAAGTAACTGCCACATGGAAGATACACTAATTGTGTGATTATGAAGGATAAGGATAGGATTAGGATGAAAACATGAAAGGCTGCAAAGAGTGACAGGGAAATTTAAGGAAACAAATGAGAAGTGATTTCTACAACAATTAATAAATGCTGAGCAGTTCTTTACTATTTTGGTATATAGAGAAATGGCAATCAGTGTCAGCAGCAAGCCTTTGTCGTACGAAAAATTTAATGACCTGTAATGCATTCATTATCCAGGCAGCTGTCATGCAGAAGATTCGGGCTGAATACCTGACTAATCCAGAGTTTGATCCACCAAAGGTGGCTAAAGCTTCCTCAGCAGCAGAGGGTTTGTGTAAGTGGATAATGGCAATGGAGGTGTATGACAAGGTTGCAAAGGTAAGTTTTTGATCCTAATCCCCCAGTGATTATGAATTTTTTCCTTTGCTTGGTATCTTCACCTTAAGCATTGTTATTAAATAATAAATATACAAAATGTGCATTTGTGTATTGTTTGCAATTGAATAGGTTGTTGCACCCAAGAAAGACCGTTTGAGAGAGGCACAGCAATCCTTAGCAGAGACACTAGCACTTTTGAATCAGAAGAGAGATGAACTTGAAGAGGTCGAAAATCGTTTGGCTTCTTTGGAACGAACTTTTACTGAGAAAACTGAAGAAAAGGCTCGTTTAGAATTCCAGGTTGATCTGTGTGCTAAAAAACTAGAACGAGCAGAGAAGCTGATTGGAGGCCTTGGTGGAGAGAAATCAAGGTCAGATTAAAGTTCAAATGTCAGATATAGTATCTACTGTAGAAACATTAGTTTCTACATCAGCTCTCTGAGGCTTTAATACTGAATCTCTATCTGAAGGCTGTATGGGATTTTAACTGTTTGGGCCCTTGGAAGATTCTTGATTATGGTAAAATAAAAATGCAGGCAGTAACATTGAGAGAATTGTAGAGAAAGTATTGAAAATATGAAGAAACAACAATGTAATATATATAACAACATCTCTCTATATAGAGATACAGATATAACATGTACATACATATATGATATAAGAACAACAAAAAGGTTGATGCTTGTCATCAATGCCATAAATGTGGGGGTTTCAGCAGCATTTTATTCTTTAACTTCTGCTTGTCATAGATGGAATAATGCTGCAAATGATCTTCAAGACGTGTATGATAATTTGACAGGAGATGTTCTGATATCAGCTGGTGTGATAGCTTATCTAGGAGCATTTACTGCTGGATTTCGACAAGAATGTACGAAAGATTGGAGCAAGCTATGCAAGGTTAGAACATTATCTTATTTTTTAATAGTTTTTTTTTTTTTTAGACTGCTGCGAAAGGCTTCATAATGTGGGCCTAAACCTAAATCTTTTTAAATTTGTTTATTACTAGCCTAATAAAACTCATTAAAATAAGTGAGATAAATTCTGCTAATCCAATATTATGTAAATTTAGACTTCATTGAATTAGTGAATTTACTTCAAACTTAAAATAGCATATCTGAAATTGAGAGCACATCATTAGCTTTGTGAGGCTTGATTATTATTTAAATATAATCTCAGAATTTTCTCTCTTTTTCCTTTAAATAGAATAATTAACTTTAAAATCTCTTAAAAAAAATTATTAAAAGGAAATGTACTTTGACCATCTGAATTGAAGACATTTAATAAAAGATATAAAGAAACATGTAATAAAGGTTTGTTTTTTTTTTTTCTTTCTTTCTTTCTTTTTTTTTTTTTTTTCTATTTTTCTTTTCTTGCAGAAGAAAAATATCCCTTGTTCTGATACTTTCTCTTTGAGTAATACTCTTGGTGACCCAATAAAAATAAGAGCCTGGAATATTGCTGGTTTACCAACTGATGTCTTTTCTGTAGACAATGGGGTCATTGTTGAGAATTCAAGACGTTGGTAGGTGACAAAAAGGTTTAATTTTCTAATCCAAAAAAAAACAAGATTTCACACACACACACACACAAACAAAACAAACAAACAAAAACCTTAAACATCTAGAGACAGTTTAGCCTCTGTAAATACAATGTGCTGGAAAGCAGAACTGGAAACCTTTTATCCTTGTCTTCTGAATTTAATAAATTTGAGAGGTATTAGACTAGAGGAATTTGAATATATAGTTACTGGAAGTTTTCTGGAGGTGCAGTGATGTGAAAGCTCCCATTAGCTATCTACAAATTGTCTGCACTCAGCTGGAACATAAGATTATAAAACTTCCTATTAATGTTCCTGTGATCTGTGTTATCTTAAGAGTCTTAACTATAGATTCAGATTGCATTTGGATTACAATGTATAATTCCATTCTTTGAATGTTACTTAAATTCTCTGAAGAGTGCAGTAAGTGGAGATGTTTAATATTGTTCATTCTTGACTTCTATTAAAATACATAAATATGGATAAAATCAGCAAGAGCAATGGGGAACAAATTTTGTTCAACAAAATCAAAATACAGTCATCTTGCCCTGCCCTTCTTACAATTCCAACCTTATACCAACTAATATACTAACATCTCAGATTCAAACTGCAACTGATTGTTGATTTTTTTTTTTTAGGTACAAAGATATGTGAGAGAGAACTCAAAACTATCAGCATTTGTAAAAATAAACTTAATTTAAAAATATAGATAAATAAATGCTGATAGTTCTAGTGGAGGGACAGAACGAGGTTTTCATAGAATTCTGCATTCAGGTGTATTTTATGAAAAAGTTATGAATGTTTTTTGAACGCCTTAAAACTATTTTTGCTATTACTTTTCAAGTTGTGATAAAACACTTGTATTCCATTTGTCAGTTAAAATCTTGATTTCAGTTATTTTAAAACTTATCACTTTTCCCTTGCCAATCTGACACAGAAGCATTTTAATATAGCTTGAAATTTCTGCAAGAACAGAGAAATTTTTTTTTGTATATTCTAGGCCATTAATGATTGATCCTCAAGGTCAAGCAAATAAATGGATCAAGAATCTTGAGAAAGAAAACCGCCTGAATGTTATCAAGGTCAGTGACACAGATTATATGAGAACCCTGGAGAACTGCATTCAGTTTGGAACTCCACTTCTGCTGGAAAATGTTGGGGAAGAACTAGACCCATCACTTGAACCTCTGCTACTTAAACAGACTTTTAAGCAAGGTACATCAAGATTAATTTTGAACCATGGATTACATTACTGTTCAGCTTTTAGTCTATGTTATTGTCTGGTTTCCTTCCTGGTTTATTGCTACCTCCACAGTTTTCTTGTGCTTCTCTGAAACTTGCTGAGTAGCTGTGACTTTGGTTTTCAACTTTTCTTTCTCTTTTATCTGGAAAAAGACAGAAAATGCAGACAAGCACAAGTATGTGTTCCTCCCTTCTGAAATGAAAAGGGGAAAAGTTGAAACATTGTTCACTGGAGTTTATTTCAGAAAGGTAATTGAAGGAAAGGGTTCCTTCAAATACCTAAGAATTCGGTATTTGAGAATAATTTCACTGTTCTCAATTACCATCTCTGGTATTGTATATGTACATTGAAAGTACAGTAGAAATTGGATTGAATCAGTTTGAAAATTTCAGTCAATGTGAAAATTTGGCAGAGTATCAGATTTATGTATTCGTTTTTACTTTTCAGAAAATTTTCATTTAAATTTGCTTTTAATTCATCACAGAAATAATGTTTTTTTTTTTTCTATAAGCAGTTGACATAAGGTTTTTCTTAATGTTTCTAATTTTAACTTTAGGAGGCGTGGATTGTATCAGGCTTGGTGAGATGGTTATTGAGTATTCCAGTGATTTCAAGTTTTTTATTACCACAAAACTGAGAAATCCACATTATTTGCCTGAACTTTCTACAAAAGTTTCTTTACTCAATTTTATGATAACACCAGAGGGACTTGAAGACCAATTGCTAGGTATTGTTGTAGCAAAAGAGAGGTAGGTATCTCTGTTTGGCAAACGGCCACTTAAAATATTTTATGGCATAATTCCAAGGAAATGAGAGGTGAATTTGTTGTAAAGCAAAATGAATATTACATGTTGTACATGTTGCTCAGTAAAAGCTTAAAATTTTTTTTTGGTTTTGTTGTCTTATACAAAGTTTACTAGGACTTCACTGAAATGCAAGTAGATTATGTGACATTTACTGTGACGTGTCAACAGGATAATCAAAATAGCAGATGTAAAATCAATTATTTTTTTTTATGGCAATTTTCTCCTGTAATATTCTTTTATTTTTGAATAATATTGACATAGTTTTCTATGTTTAAATCATTACTGTGTTTTTGCAAGTCGATTAAGCTGCCAGACATAGGTGCTGAATTATTAAGATTTAGTTTTAATTTCTTGCAAAATAAATACAGAGTACTTCTGAAACTTAATACAGGTCTTATCTGAACCTTCACAGACATAAAGTAGTTTCTGGGTCATACAGAACTGTCTATGCAATTGGGCTAAATTCTGTTTGCTAAAAAACTGCTTCCAGGAGTAAACTTACTCCGCATATTGCACTTTTTTTTCAGATCCAGAGATATAATAAAGTAAAACTTGGATGTGCCAACATTTGTAAAGTGCTAAGATGTTAAAACTCAGCAATTCATTTCCAAATACTGAAGTTATGCAAAGAAATCTGTACTCTGTTATAAATATATGCTCAACAGTAGCAACCCATTTAAACCGATGGGAATACTCACAGATATTTATGGTGGGAACAGAGAGTTGTCTTCATGGGCTTCCTTTATAGTCAGTGGAAGATGAGAATTGACTATGTTTGCTATAAGTGTTTTTCTTATTCAGACCAGAATTAGAAGAGGAAAGAAATATTCTCATCCTTCAGTCTGCAGCCAATAAAAAGAATCTAAAAGAAATTGAGAGGAAAATTTTAGAAACCTTACAGTCATCTGAAGGGAATATTCTGGAAGATGAGAGTGCTATTGAGATCTTGGATTCTGCTAAAATAATGGCCAATGAAATCACAAAAAAACAGCAGGTAAGGAATGATAATGTTTTTTCCTTAATAATATGTACAAATTAAATGTAAAATTTGCAGCTAGCAAAAGAACTGTGGATTAGATGCAAGGAAGAAATTCTATGCTTGTGAAATATGAAGAAATAAAATTTGGACTATTCTAGAATCTCCACAGGTGGTTTATTCAGTCTGCAATTTACACATGTTTTGAAGAATATGTATCTATCTAAAGGACTGAATAAAAAGTGGCAAATTCTGAAGTTAAGGTAACACGTTAAGCTAAAGGAAGGACCTAATTTTAAAAACAAAAAGAAAACTCAGACATTAATAATCTGGGTGACTAATATAGGTATGCAAGCCTAGATTCTTTTGTTATATTTAATGCATAAAATACCATCTGAAGTCAATGAGAGCCAAATAATAAAAGAATAAAGATGTTTTCAAAATTATTACAGACTTAACAGAAATCAAACTTTCTTTAAGCCGATGTTGTCCTTTTGTCAATACCTATTAAGGATAATCTTAGAATATGTCTAACAGTTTAATTCTGAAAAACCTTTTTATATTCAAAGTATTATTTTGTATAAAGCTGATTTGTAGTAGAATAAATAGAGCTTAAATAAATGAGCAGTCTGAAATTGCCCATATTTTTTAATATTGCAGAGATAAAGATTGATACAGCTGCAGCTAAAAGATGCATCAGAACTGTTGTGACATGTTTATCCTTTGTTTTGACTATTGCATCCTACAGTATAGATAAATAGATCAGGCACTACTGCATTAAAGTGCTCATTTTCCTAGTGTAGGCATTACCTATTGTGATTGTGCATTTTGGAACATTAAAGTTGTCTCACTGTAGTGTTAAAAAGTGATGTGTAGAAATATTTTAATGATGTTACTTGGTAGGAACATTTTTGTTCCAAAGAACAGGAAGATTGTCTTTGGGGAAAACAAACAAACAAACAAACTTGAAATTACTATTGATATGTAGGTTGCAGAGAAAACGGAGCTTAAAATAGCTGAATCTCGAGAAGGCTATCGACCAATTGCAAAGCATTCATCGGTGCTGTTCTTCAGTATTGCAGACCTGGCAAACATTGATCCCATGTACCAATACTCCCTTAGCTGGTTTGTTAATCTCTTCATCAACTCTATTCATGATAGGTAAATACAGTATTTATAGTATAAAATAAGATGTTTTCATTCTCTTCTTCTGAACAGTTCCCTCTGTTTTTAAACCATTTACCTCTCAGCCCTCTTTAAATGTAGGCTTTTGAAACAAAATATAATTTGTTAGTAAAATAAATGTTCTTTTTAGTCACTGTTTGAGCAAGTCATGAACTGTAAGCATGCACTGCAGACTAATATTTAAGTATTTGTAAGAATCTTGCTTATAGAAAGGGTGTTCACTATGAGTGAACTCACTAAGAGTGCTGCCACCTAACTCCAGCAAATCAGTTCATTATTTTGCTTGGAACTCTCAACAGAGCTGTGAAGCATTGAGTGTAATTGAATTTGGGGGGAAATGGGCTTCTATGTCTCTTGTGGAGCATGCAGGCTTAATGTGATTCATCCACAATGTTAAATAGATTTAGATTCTTAACTGATTTGCTTAAGTTATTAAATCTGAAGTCTCACCTTATTTGTTTCTTCTTAGTAACAAATCCAAAATTTTGGAGAAGCGACTTCGATATCTAACTGATCACTTTACATACAATTTGTACTGCAACGTGTGTCGCTCACTGTTTGAAAAGGACAAGCTGCTCTTTTCCTTTTTACTCTGCTGCAATCTTCTCATGTAAGCTCATTTTTCTGAAGTTTTTAATAACAGAAACCAATGATTTTCTTACTGGGGAAAAAGTCAAGAATATTTGGGGTTTTTAATACTCATAATATGGACAAGTGAAAGATGTAGGTACATGTATCACTACTATAGCCTTTGGGCACGTTACAGAGAAAATGTTTGTGTTCATATTTAAACCAATGGCTTAGTCACTGATACATCTTTTAAAGAAAATACATCCGTTTAAAGAAAATGGATAGTAGTATCAAAAGCTATTGCTATTACTTAATAAGTTTATAAATAGAAGTCTGACGCTATTGTGCCATTCTAGCAACTTCTAGCTTTTTGTCTTTTTATTTTTTTTTCCATTTTCCCTCATCTTCCTCTTATACCTGTTTGCATCCATCATGAGATCTCAGTTGTAGTCTTCTCTCTTCTACTGTCTTTTTATTTGTCTTCCTCTGCTTTTTTTTTTTTTTTCTAATTTTGTGCTAATACATTGTGAAAGGAAAGATAAATTGTGTGATCATAAATTGTGTGATCATGACTATAATGCGCATTTCTATTTAATAACAGTGTGTACATACCTGTATATGGACCATTCTTCCTGGCCCAATTTTTTCCTTTATTGTATTCCTAGAATCTATTTTTTCTATAAAGCCTTTAAAAATTAAGAATAATAGCACTTTTTAAAAACAAATAAGTAGATATATACTTTTAAATCTTGAAATCATTACTGTAGTTGTTATCAGTCATTTTCTACCATACAATTTCTTGATTGTCTAGAATACTGTGATCTGATCTCAGCTGTTACTGCAGTAGGAGTATTGCTAACTGTTTTTTGTTTGTTTGTTTGTTTTTGTTTTTGTTTTTTTTTTTTTTCCCTGCTTGGAATATAGGGCTAAAAATGAAATTGAACGTCAAGAGTTTATGTTCTTACTAACTGGTGGTGTGGGTCTCAAGAATAAATACAAGAATCCAGATCCATCTTGGCTACCAGATAAGAGCTGGGATGAAATATGTCGTGCAAGTGAAATCCCAGCTTTGAAAGGACTGAGGTATAGTAAAATGATATGAATTATGGATAATTGTTTTTGACCAAATTACACATAACATGCTGAAAAGAAATGTTCTAAAGTGGAGTTTTTCCTGAAATACAAGAAGCCAAAAATTCATGCCATCATCCCATACCTATGATTCTATCAAGTACCACACAATGCTGGATAGAAGAGGAAGCAGAGCTTACTGTCAACTCAGAACCTTTCAGGTGAAGTCTTGTATTTCTGCAACAGCATGCTGGGGAAAGAGCTTCATTCAGCTGTTGGATTATTTTCTGATATAGATGTATTTTTGATAAATATCAAAATACACTCCAAGTATTTACAGTAACTGTAAGCACTTTTTCCTCTAGGAATCACGTGACTGAAAATATAGGTGAATGGCAAAAAATTTATGACAGCAAAGAGCCACAAAGCTTTCCATTACCAGAACAATGGAATAATACATTAAACGAATTACAAAAGATGGTAATTCTTCGGTGCTTAAGGCCAGACAAGGTAAAATGATACATTATCATGTGTTTGTAGACTGTTGCAGGTCTTATACCATAGTTTGCAATAGTTGTTAAAAGAAAATATGATGAAGAACAGATTATTAAGAACAGGTTATTAAGAAAATAAATGCTATTCTTATTTTTCAATTAAGCAGTTAAAACATCATCTGAGATGTTCTGTTTGCATTTTTCGGAGTATATTCATCGTTCTAGTTTTCTTCAAGTGCTCATTTGTGTTCAGTCTGTTCTTTGATGCACCCCATATACCCAAGAGCAGGACATGTTAACAAGAAGAAATGCACAGAGTGTGCAGTACAATGTGCTTTCATACTAAAGGTTAAATGTGAATAGAGAGATGAAATGTGCTGAACAGCCAAACAGAACTTTAAACACATTCTTCCTTATTTCACTTATCAAATTGTATTGTGTGCTGTTTAGGAACAACCAATGTTAGGATTTAAAGTACATGTTGCAACTGCTCATTAGTGAACATTAGTGTAATTAATTCTAAGAGGGAAACATGCTGGTCCTTCACACTAGGTAAAGCCTCAATTAAAGTTTTAGTGTGATTCAGTGTTGCTCGTATGAGTTATTTTACCTTTTATTTGCTAAAAACATTTTAATCACCTTTGGGGGAAAAAAAAAAGAAATGAAAGGCAGGGGGTGACAACATGAGCTGAAACCTATGCTTCTGAAGCATTCAGCAAAACTAGTCTCACATCTGTGCAAACTAGAGAGGTCTCTCTCTAGGTGTTTTGCTGAGGAATTTAACTGAGTTAGGGTACAGTGTGCTTTGAAGATGCTGTGAAATAATCATTTATGTTTGATTTAAGTTAATAGTCTGTATTTACTTCACCAGATTGGTCCAGCTATAACAACGTTTGTAACAGATAAACTGGGGAAGAAATTTGTAGAGCCACCACCTTTTGATCTAACAAAAAGCTACTTAGATTCAAATTCTACAATCCCTCTAATATTTGTGCTATCTCCAGGAGCAGATCCCATGTCCAGTAAGTATACGCACAAAGAGAAAATGAAAGCCAAGAACAATTTTTCAGATTCAAGACCTGCACTTCCTCTTCAATACACAGTGGGGATTATTTTGCCCTTAGCACAAGTAGATTTGAGTGCATTATGTCAGACTGATACAATCATGTGCTCCCTAAAAAGGACAACGTTATTTAATTCTGAATAATTACAATCTACACTAAAGCTATACCTTCTTGTTGTATGTATATTTTTAAAAAATAGTAATTAACATTTTTTCATGACATAGCTTCTTTTTAATGAAGAAATGCTAAAATCGTATGCTTTCTTTTCAAGGCCTTCTGAAATTTGCAAATGACAAAGAGATGGTCGGAAATAAGTTTCAGTCCATCTCATTAGGACAAGGACAAGGACCTATTGCTACGAAAATGATTCAAGAAGGAATGGAAGAAGGAACTTGGGTTTGTTTACAAAATTGTCATTTAGCTGTCTCCTGGATGCCAGTACTAGAGAAAATATGTGAAGAGTTTAGTAGTGAAAAATGTCATCCAGACTTCAGACTTTGGC